GGCCCATCACAAGGTGCAGGATGCCGAAGTGTGTCTGACAGAGCCAGACGTTGAGGTGCAGCGCGAGGAGTTAGGGGCCGAGGTCCATCGTATAGCCAGAGTCCTTGGGGACTGTGGTATAGCTAAGGACGCCAAGGTGCATGATAAAGCGCTAGAGATGGAGCCGCTGCGCAGCGCACGCGATCAGGATGAATCGCGTCAAAGCGAGCATGAGGCCGACTATACGAAGGCCTGGGAACAAGGGCTATCTTGAAAAGGGAGAGACCCTTACAAACTGAAGAGAAACCTTCGGGCGAGATAGTTAGCTTAAAAGGCATCGGGACTCCCGTTCTGTCACAGGAGGAGACAGCTTGCAACGGGCCCGAGGAAAACCTAGCTAACCAGTCTAGAGTTTCAGCAGTACTATTTAGAGGCAGCACACTTGTGAGTAAGTGTGTCGAGACTGCCAGTATTGCGAGAAGTTCGCACAGAAAGAGGCGTCGGCGTATGCGTAACGCGGTGAAGACGACTGATGACAAGCGCGCTAAAGCCACTGTTAAGTGCCGTGGCGTTATCAGTCGAGACGCCAGGCTTAAGGCTAGGCGTAGGATCGCGAAAGGGTCCTCAGCGAAATGTTCGCATCTCAGACCATCACTGAGATTGAGATCAGGCGGGAAGTCCGTCAAGAAAAACCGAGTTTCAGAGAAATTCGGATGCCGAGATCATCGCCTGGTCTCATCTTTTTCGATGCCGCGTAGAGTCAATCACTTGGAGGAGCATCGCGTACGCCTGAGCTGTAACAAATGCTGTCATTCCCCAGCGTGGCGAGAGGGTCACTGGTCGAACCGGAGGGGTAAACGACGCAGTGCAGATGCCCCTTTCTTTGAGTTAAGTGGGTGTACGTCAAAAGTCGGTGCTACTAAGTTCAGCGAACAAGTTGGTTCGTCGTCCCACTGTCCAGACAGCAACCCTCGAAAGCTGTGGAGTTCGCGACTCCCCAGAGTTCGTCTGGGAGAGTGCTGCCTTGCCAATACCAAGAGTGTACTTTGTGTTTAGTTTTGAGAATAACTTTTTCTAGTTTTGTCGTCTGCCGATGAGCAAGGAATGGTTCTAAATTTTTGTAAGCTTTACTTGCCTTGTCATCGCAGAAGCTCACATTAATATGTTTGTTCGATTAAATTTGTTTTCATAATATTTCAAAGGTAACAGTTAGTGTGCTTTATTTTAACAGAGAAGGCATAGTAAAAGCCCCTGTTTAAGATACCTTCTGTGTTTAGCATTAAGTGTTATTTTGCACGTCGGTGTAGGTTAACTTTTAACTTTGTTCTGTCTAATGCGCGCAAGTTTGATTTTCATTATTTACTAACTTTTCAAGCACGTTTTATCTTGTTGTGATGATCATTGGTGGCGCTTATTGAAGTGAGAGCTTGTAGGAGGACAAACATTGTCAAGTTTGACAATCTTATGCTTGCAAGCGACACCAATGTGCGTGATTCAGAATTGTTTGGTATTCTAAATTGTAGTTTCGGGGCCAAATTGAGTTAACCTCAGCAGCTTCGATCGTCCATAATCTGCCTAAATCACAATTGAGAATCGCTCAAAAAAAATTCTCTTTGGTTCAACAGTGTGATGCACTGACACTTGGCTAAAGGTGTGTCCACATTATGTATTGCTCCTCAGATACGTTGCTCGTGATGCTATTTTTTTAGCTCAGCTTAATTTCGAGGAAATATTTTCGTTTCTGCTGGTCTGGCGATTTGATCAGCATTTGGAGGGTGCTTGCTTTGGCCAGAGTGCTTCGGCTTTGCGTTCGACTCCGTCGTTCCAGTGAACCTCCGCAGGCCTATGGAAGTCTTAACGGGCGGAGAGAGCGGAACGGCTACCGACGGTCAACCAACATCTTTCCTTCCGAGCCGCGCTGACCGCTCAAAACTCCGGATGCATTGTCTGGCGGCGGGGGTGCTGTTGTGCCACAGACATGTTCCTCGTTCGGGAGCACGTCCCACGAGATCGAGCGCTGTTCTGACGAACTGTCTCCCCCTCCCCCCGCCCTCCCAGCGCCGCCTTCCGTGCAGAAGAACCATGCAGTTCCGGGGATAACGTCACTTCCTCCGCCGAACCACCTTGCAGTTCCGGGTATGGCTGCGTCTCCTCAGCCGAGCCACTGTGCCGTTCCGGGGAACTGGTCTCGCAGAAGAGTCCCAAAGCGCTATTCAAGGCCGTGCCGGCCCCATGTTAGGAGATTTTTTGCCCCAGCCGACGTTGTCGTGCTGGCCGGCTCTGTACAAACGACAACCTGCTACAGTAAACGCTACTTTTGTTGCTGTTTTCAAAACGGATTGCCTCCCTGTTTCGCCTGCGGGCTAAGGCTTCAGCGAAGTCCGCTCGACGGCTCGCCGCTCTTCGCCACCGCTACCATCGCGACAGAGCAAATTCATAACAGCACACAAAAGACCAATTCGTTGGTTCCCAGTCGCGTTGGTTCGATTCATAGCCTCTTTCGACGGGGACCTTTGGGAAACCTGCACGAAAGCAATTATAAATGTACGCGAATTCGCTAACACTGACTCACGGACAAATATTAAGACTAAATTGAAACACAGTGACATCACGACGCGGACAAAGCGAACGAAAAAAAAAAAAAAAAAACTCCGGCGCTAGCTGCCCCGTGTCGTCAGCGTTGTGGTTAATTGCACTGCATTTTATTGCGTTCAAGAACTGTCACCAAGAGCCGTAAATATACCTCAGGAACACTACGCAGACACATGAAGTATTGTGCATTATGTTCTGCGATGATACTCTCGATCATACCGAACGTAGAACATAAAGTTCAATACACTCACCTGTGGAAGCTGACACCTGGTTCCCATTTTATCGAGGGCATCGCAGCTCCTTAGTCGATGCAACAGATGTATCGCTTGCCGGCTCGGTCAGCTGGCGATGTCCCTGCGCTCTGGCCAGCGCAACGCAATATCGTCTCCTAGCAACCAGATCAGCGTGCCCACAAGTGCGAGGAGGAGCGCTCCTACTCTTCCCTACTTCCGGCTTCACAAAATGTGACGTCACGGCCTCTTCACATAGACTCCCCTGCTGACGGGTCCACTCTCCTGACTGGTGTGGGCTGCTACCACCCAGGTGCGGAGCGGTACAGCTGCAAATTAAGTCCACCAGAAATTACTGGGCAAGGGAGCGGCAAGTTGCAGCCTCAATCGGGACCTCCGAAGTAGACGGCCGATTCCCAGGCCTATCACGCCGACACCCTTCAGAACCGGGCAGCTCCGCTGCTCCCGTCGCTGGTTTCCCACGTCTTCACAACTCGGAGCCCCAGCGCACAGTAGCTCATCCTCTGGGATTTTTCTTCACGGCTCGGGTCACCTCCGACCCATATTCTGTGTGGGTTCCTTTTGGCGTTGCATAAGTGGTTGCTAGACTGGAAGGGTCAGTGTTGCCAAATTGCCGCTAAATTTGACTGCAAAAGTTTTTTCTGTACTTGTGGCTGCTTTGTGAGAATTTGGTGCCATCCGCGTTGCATTTCGTGAACGAGCGACGCTGGCTGTTTTAATTAACGGAATGAACCGCGCCGAGCAGTAGTCGAGCGTGGCGCTGCTGTGCAATTAAGAGGCCGTTTTAATTAATGGAATGAACTGCACATTACAGAATTCGTTTTATTTACGGAATGAACCGCGCCTAGCAGAAGTCGAGCGCAGCGCTGCTACGCAATTAAGAGGCCAATTTAATTAACGGAATGAACCGCGCCTAGCAGAAGTCGAGGCGCGTTGTCTTGCTATGTGCGCAGCTGTGCGAATAAGATATCGCGTCTCAGTATTGGGAATGACGGGAAAAACTGAATAGAGTCGCAAAAGGTGATGCGCTGCCCCCCTCCCCCCTTACTTTTTTTTTTTCTCAGCTGATCGTGTCGCGTCGACCGCGCGCTACGACGGGGGACGCTACCGAATGGCACCAAACTCTTACGGAGAAGCCAACTCTACAGAAAAAAATTGCTTAGCCAAATTTAGCGGCAGTCTGGCAACCACCCCAAAGTCTGGCAACTGACTTATGCAACGCCAAAAGGAACCTTGCCTTCTCTGTCTACGTGACTGGAGAACGTGCTCTCGGGGAACTTTTTTTTTTTTTCATCTCGTGCACCGTTGCCGCGTTTGCGTCTCCTTTACTCATTACAAGTTTTCCTCACGAGATAACGTCACTAGACCCTGCCTTTATCCCCTCGAGGTTTAGTCCCTTGTGTCAATACTCGCTGGTCGTTCAAAGGTTTTTCACAGCTGCGTTCAGGTGTTTTCCAGCGCACAGGCGACCGTAAAGGACCATTCTGAACTGGTAGTAAAATAATTATCCTATGTTGTTAACTTCTGCTTATTTATTTCGTTGTATCGGAGAGCTGGAACTCTGAAGTGATCTTGAATGGCATGTGTGAAAATAAAGTTCAAGCAAGTCAAGATGGAAGCTGTCCGAATGCAACATCTCGGGGGAGGACCACTGCATAGGGGTCCCTCCCCTCAATCTAAAAACGCGGGATCAGGACCCCCTGTGATTTCTGGCCTGCAAACACCAGCTTATCAACATTTGCAAATTGCTGTCGCACGACACGATTTTCAGAATGTCGCAATTGCCAGCCCAACAAATCTTGCACAATAGCAGTCTCAGGAGACTAATGTTTTGCTTATTTATGGAGCATATGCATTCCTTCGGCGATTTATGTTACATAAGCGGTTTATGGAGTAATAGAAAGGTATTCCGGCCAGCACTGCACAAGCGTGCATGTTTTCCTCAATCTACACATTCTCACAGCCACGACAGCGTGGTGCATGCATGTCAGAACAGACACGTGCTAGGGCGTTTCAACCTCGAGAGGTTTCGAAATATGAAAAGACCACATTTGGTGCAGAATAGTATAAATGTTGCAGGATGTAGCAGTATTGGTCTTCAAGCACAGCTTCGTAGCTATCACATACCACTGAAACAGAGTAGTGATGTTGAGACCATAAAAATTAAAATGCTTGTCATTGTAGATGTAATAATAACATATTTATTTCCCTGGTCAGAACATGCCGTCGTGAATGCCAATGGGCACCAAGAGTAGGCCAAAGACGACCACGTTGCGCACCAGATACTTCCAGTCAGCTGGTACAGCTAGCGGCATGAGGCATCCTGTCAGCACGTGCACCTCGTGTGCCACACACACGAGCACCAGAGAAGTGACCATGACATTTAGCACAGGGTAGCCAGGCACCAGGACCAGTACGCCGTGTGTGTCGGCTGCCAGCCAGATGTGGTACTGCGCAATAAACAGCTGCACCCACCAATCATCATTATCATCCGGAAATGTGCTCATAATGTCAATGCAATTAGCATTGACAAAAGTATATTCAGGCATGTTCTTCACTTGCACACTTGGAGGATATAATAAAAACTCGTTAAAGCAGAAGCCACCCATACCTAACCATAGGGCATAGTGAAGCTAAAGATGGCCATCTTGTGGTGTGCAGGCAGGCGGCCGCGTAGCACATATGCGCTTCTACGGCCGTTTATTTCCCGCAAATGATGGCCACTAGAGAAATGTGCTCACATTCACAGCAATACACATGCAGCACTTAAAGACACTGCAGAACTGTTGTTATTTCATATGTTAAAATTTTATTAATGCAAATTCCTCTGGCTTTAGCTAGGATGAACGCTGCGGCCAATTTGTTGGAATGACCCGAAAAATGATGCCTGGCGTAGTCAGCTGCTTGGCGGGCTGAGTTACGAGATCGAATCGGAACACGGGCAAACCAAAACGTTAGCGCAGCCTTAGGGAAGACAAGACTTGCATCTCCCCTTCTGCCCGGTCGCAGCTAAAATCGCATCCTGCACATACCAGTCACTGTCCACGCAAACAGAACGGAAATGAGTCTTCCATGCGAGAGCATAATAATAAAAGAAAAGACACGACGCATTGCTGATTTCGCCTGCGTGGTTCTCGCGAACTCGCTTCGATGCGTTGCAGCGCCGCCTACACATGCATAAATGCCGCGGACACAGGCTAGCTTGAGATAGTGTAGAGATGGCAGACTAGCTAGACTTAAGAATCGTAACTGACTGAGCGATATGCCTGGATTAGATCTATTTCCAATCTGTATTACTTGCCATACACCGTACAGCAGTGCGATTTAAACCCGACCAGCAGTCCGATTTAAACTGCCTGATGTCATTAGTCAACACAGCTTGTTTTCATAGTGATTCGTAAACGAAAGGAAATCAGCGTGACTCACAGAGATACGCTGTTAAGATCCCGTTGTGGGACAAATTCCACAGAAAGGATTTCATGAGTATTTAAAAAGTTTCAAGGGCCCTTGAACTTATATTGTCAATATCAAGCATATTTAAAGATTTCTAGGGGTTGTGTGAATCCTGTATTTAGCACAAGAGCAAACTGATTGTTTTGAGCACCAGCACAGGCAAGAGAAAAAACATTCACATAAACATGTCTTCTTCGAAGAATGCCTCGTTGCACAAGGCCGTCAGAGCACGAATTGTCTTCGTTGTTTGCATAGAGTGGACGCGAAATTTGCTTCCCTGTAAAAAAGTAATGCCGGATACCATAGTGACATCAGTTGTATATGAAGTCGCTTTGCACAAACAACTCTCTCACAAAATCACTCGCTTACGTATAGCTTTATGCACACTAGATGCGCAAGTTAAGGTCAGTGCTGGCAACGCCTTATACAGTGGGGGCCATAAGGGACAATGTCACATTCGAGCTCACTTAGTCATGGCAGCACTCAATAAGGTCCAAAGTATTTGCTGAGTAGCTTTTCCGATAGTCCTTGTCTTCGTACAGGCATCCGGACCCATACTTTACACCAGTTAGATTGGTTGCAGGTCTATGACAAAAGTTCCAATGACCTGCGTCGTGCTGTTGATGTTGCTCTATTCGCACATGTGCGAGCTGCCTGGTTTCTTCTAAGTGTTGAGTAAACGCGTCGGCAGCCATTGCAACATTATCGCATTTGTGTGGCAGCATCGCATCCAACATCGCTCTGACTTCTCATCCATAAACAGGGTGAAATGGGGTCATATATATTGTTTCTTGTTTGGCAGTATTGTAAGCAAATGTTTTATATAAGGTAGAATAAGAGACCACCAGCCACTTTAGAAAACCAGAACTGTACCTTTGGGCTGTTGATCAAAATAAAGTAGCGGCAGCGTACTAACCTGCAATACCACGAGGGGAGATGGCGCTGCTAGAATTATCAGCATTATTAAACACACATTTTTTTTTGCTTCTGGTTGGGTGGCCCACTGCTCGTTCGAGCTGCTCACTCCCTGTGGGATTTTGTTTTTTTCTCATTGCTAAATTGCAGTACGTGGATCTAATTTTCTCCAGGTGACCAAACTGGCCTCGACTGGCAAAAAATTGTGAATCAAGTAAGGTTTGCATCGTTTATTACAAGTGCCCAAGCTGCTACAACCGATGTCAGGTCCAAACAAAACAAGTCACTCATACATATCCAAAGCTTTAAACCCATGTGTAAAAACTCTTGAAAGCTAACAAACATATGCATATAACTGAACGTCACTCTCGTTAAGTTGCGGTGTTCGAGTTTAAGGGGGCACACTGGTCTTAGACATGTTTTCGTTTATTTCTTCTGTGATCTTTATCAATCTGCACAGGATTAAACAGTTTTTTCTACCGATTTCAAATATGTGGTTTTCCTGTAACTCATCTTACTCCTGAGATAGTAACTTTAGTTCACCTCGTATTGTTTAAGGCCACCATAGGAAAAAAAGTGCTGAATTAAAAGTGATATTTAAGTATGCCAACATAGACTAATGAATATAGATTGAAAGTAGACAAGAGTTTTTTTTTGTTTTTAGGCCTTTCTTGGTGACTTTACAGCAAAATAAGCTATCTATTTTCAAAATCAGTTGGACTTGTGTTACAATTTTGATGAGTAATTAATTAAAAAGGCTTGTGCTCTAAATTCTGCTCCCATACTTGCATACTACACACATAGAGGTTTCCATTGCAAAAAGAATTACTGTTGTACCTGTCCTAGCTGCAGAGATACTGAGGCCTCAAAATTGAACAGCCGTCAATTTACTTTTTTGAGAAAAATAGAAAAACTGAAAACACACATCTCCTTCAAAAAGCAACAATCAAGATGCGAATGTTTTTTAATCCTCATAAAGGTGCTCATAAATTCGTAGCAGAGCTTCTAACAAAGGTGCTGGCCAATCATAAAGAAGCCTCGAAGCCGGTTTCCCGTTATTTTACAGGTTTTGCATGTTAATAGCACCAAGAATCTGGGCAGTTAGAATGACATTAAAAATATTACTGCTTCCTGGTGTGTGAAAATTTCCAGAGATAGAAAAATACTTGCAGAAACCAAATATGTCCATTTTAAAAAATGAATTTTTTTGTCACTTTCTGGTTCCAAAGACCAGTCTGCCCCCTTAATAGCGTGGCTTCAGGACAAGGGTCTGATTCTGCTGTCAACTAAGCACGTAGTATTGCCAAGTAGTGGTAATCTTGAAGTGAAGTGAATGCATGCCTTGGAATCTTGAATGAAACTTCACATGCCGACAGATATTTCGCGCAGTGAGATGTATCTTTGCTAAATTTTTTATGTAGACAATCGTGAATGCGTTCAGTTCTGAATCTTTCTCACTGTGCGATGTTATCTTGAGTACTTTACAATTGGGTAATGTTGCCATGTGTCAACAGGATAGGCACAAGTTTTTAATTCTTGGCCGTGAGCCAATACATCCTGCCTAGGTTTAGTTGTTCCTCCCCTACCAGTCTAGCTGTTATGGCTTTAGAGTAACTAAACGATCTTACGGTTCACTACACCGAGTCCGTGTTGTGTCAACATTTCGTGTTCATTGTTGACGTCCTCAACAAGCTCCTATATCGTCATGGGCTACTTCCGCCCAACGAGCCGCTTGTCTTCATTGCCCATACCCCAGTCATCTTCGGCCTGGACAGTAGACCTCACCCATAATCAGTCTGTGCTGCCTTACCAAACTGAAACTGATGACAGGGCACCCCAAAGACTGTGGTGTGGACCACTGCCATCCTGAAGAGATGAGAAACAGCTGTGATGAGGTTCAAGACGTCCAGGGAGCCTCACTTGGTGTTTCCTGAGGTCCACGGCTACTTCCCGGACCTCTCGTGCTGCAGCCTCCAGAGCCAGGCGGAGAACCTGCTGCTTTCACCGAGAGCACGACGCTGACTTCCTTGATTTTCTCAGTCCAGTTCTCCACAGAACAGTGCTCTCTTCCGTTCCGAGGCCTTCACCTCCAGGCTTGAGACACGTGGCACAAGCCTTTCAATGTCCAATCACGCGTGCGTATGTGTCAGGGGCGCACACCATCGGGTAACTTTCAATATTTCACACACCGTCGCCCCTCTCCAGCATTCACCGTCAGGGGCAGTACCAGGACTTCTTTACTGGGGGGGGGCACCCATGACAAGAGAGTTAAGGGAGGCTGGTAACTGATGCCTTGTGTCGTTTTCACTGTGCTTGTGTGCTTGCTTTCGAGGGGAGGGGGCAAGAGGGAGGCAAGCAGAAACTTTGGGGGGCTAAAGCCTTTCATACCCCCTCACTGGTGCCGCCCCTGCAGCACGTGGCTTGCATGTCTTTCACTCACCACAATCTACTGGTTTGTGGAGGGTATAACCAGCGCCTCCTCTATTTTTTCAGTGCCCGGGCAAAGGAGTGGATTTCAATGGGAAGCGGCCGTCGGTGCTAGTAGGGTGTTTCGCCGCCAGGCGCTGGTACTAGAGTAGAGATGCCGCCGCATTGTCTCTCGCGCAAACTAATGCTGCGGATGCATTCGAAGTTGCCATACGGCTCAGTTATTGGCTATTATTGCATTGTTTAAAGTGTAATGAAAACTTGTTAATGACAATCGTGAAGCACTTGTTATTTTGGACACCTAGCTCATTTCAAAGGCATGTGTCATTCGCGACTTCTTGGTCGAAGCGCTCGCGCGTCATCTGCAGCCCGATACAAGATAGCTGATGCCAGTAATCCGCAGAAGATTGTTTTGTCACCGTGGCGTTCGCTTGACTTGACTGGGAGTTGCTTTTTTGACTAACTGAAAGTCGATTTTTGAGAGAAGCCTTTGCCAGGAGCTAACATTAAAAGTTTGGGTGCCTAATGTTCCGCAATGCTTGCTACTCTCTATAGTGGCGTAGCACATTATGCGCAAGCTTCGAGTTCATGCACTGAGAAGCGCAAAATCTCACTAGACTGCTTCCGGGGATAAAGGTCATCATCCGTTTCCTTCACAAAACATAACATGTGTTGCCACCGAGAAAAACTAAGTGTCAGAAAATGAGGAACTATGGCAGGTGATTTCACCATCTGAGAGCTTAAACAATGAAATAATCATGAAATAAACAAGAACAGCTCCATATGCGGTGGATTTCGGCGATCATTGCCTATGTTTTAAACAGGCGCTGTGAAAAGTCTGAAGTCTAATGCCGACTCTCAACCTGAGCCAAGATGACAGGCATGAAAAATACGGCCTGTGGTCTGTTGCTTGGCCTTGTTTATGTATTCGTGGATGGATTGTTGTAGCCTTAATATCCGGCTGCTCAGCTCTGTTTCTTTCTTTTTCCCTCTGACCTCTTCATTCGGTAGTGAGCAAAGTATAGGTTAAATGACTGTGTGATGCCCATGGGCTCCCATTCAACTTCGGGGCGTAATGTTAGGATTGCACACGGCAGTGATCGCGAGGCAGCGTTGCTACTAATAGACTCATTTGTTGAATGTTAGGATGCAGCGCATTCCCGTTTAGTGATACCAATTGCCATGTTGCCAACGTGATGGGTAGACTTCAGCCATCACTATTCATAATCTATAAAATACTCGGGTTGTAAATGATGGTTACATATTATAGTGTAGTACGAAAATTTATTAGGAGGCCAATTGGTCTGCCTGATTACTGCAAGCATGCTCTCCCTGAACACCAGTGGAGTGAGTGAGTAAAAACTTTATTGAACATGTCCGGCGTCATTGAGCGGGTTGGGGCTACAAGCACCCCGGCCTAGGTGACGGCCTCGAGTCCTTGGACCCGGGCGGCATTCTGGGCTTGCCGGACGGCCCACAGTTGATCGGCAAGGTCGTGGCTGAGCAGAGCCGCCTCCCATCGCGCCTCGCGGTTCGAGACTGCCATGTCTACCGGGTTCGTAGGGGACTGCTGCGCGTTACCAGTACACTTCCACAGCATGTGCTGCAGCGTCGCTCTGGCTCCGCACGCCTTACACGCGCCGGACGTATAAATGCCTGGGTAGCAGAGGCGAAGGATCACCGGATTCGGGTACGTGTGTGTCTGTAGTTGTCTCCAGGCAACCTGCTGTTTCTTGTTTAGTTTGGCGTGGGGTGGTGAATATTTGCATCTGTTCAGTCTGTAGTGTTGCGTGATGTCTCTGAAAGTGGTCATGCGATCCCCCCACGTCCATTTCCGCATCGCTGTCGAAGTGTGCGAGACATCGGGACTGTCAGCAGGCGTCGCAACTTGGCGTGTAAGTCCTCGAGCCGCGGCGTGGGCAGTCGCGTTGCCCGCAAGCGGAGGGTCCGTGTGGGCGGGGGTCCATACGAGGAAACTGTCGTTTTTGCGGCAGATGTTGCGTTCGTGAATTTGGAGAATGCGGGCCGCTTCGCGGGAGATCCGGCCGCTGGCGTAGTTGCGTATCGCCGCCTGCGAGTCACCTATTATCACCTCGGCGTCCGTGGTGGCTATCGCGAGGGCTATGGCAGCTTCTTCGGCCGCCTCCATCTCTTCCGTGCCTATCGTCGCACTCATGACGCAGGTTCCTACATGATCCGTGATCGCGACCGCGAAGCGGCGGTGGCAGTCGTAACGGGCCGCATCCACGTAAACTGTGTCTTTGCTATTGCCGAATTTCTTTTCAAGGTCTTGGGCGCGCCTGTTGCGCCGACCGATGTGATGTGTCGGGTGCATGTTCCTAGGCAATGGCAGAACGACGATGTGCTCGCGAATACGTCTGGGTATCCCGACCTTTTCGCCACGCTGCGTATGGTAGTTGATACCCAGTGTCTCGAGGATGTGTCGACCAGTTCTGGTCTTCGCCAGACGTTCGTACTGGGCGATGTTGTGTGCTTCGATTATCTCATCTAGAGTATTGTGCAACCCCAGCTCGAGAAATTTTTCCGTGCTGGTATTGGCCGGTAATCCCATTGCGCGTTTGTACGCCTTGCGGATGAGACAATCTAGTTTGGTGCGTTCAGTCGCCTGCCACCAGTGGAAGCTGCAATTTCATGGAGCTACAGCCATACAGTGCAATTAAGGTGATAGCTTTAAATGCCTCATAAAAAGTGAAAATTGATCGCCGGCGGCGTCCGGCGTTCTCTCGCGTCAGAACTGTCGCAGCTCCCTGGGAAGGCCAACGAAAGTCGCAGTGACGTCGCATCACATCTGCAATGAGCGTAGGCGTGCGCAGGTTTCTCCTCCAGGGGGAACAAAGGTTCATTGCACGACACTGCCTTGCCTATCATGTCAATGTATGCACCTGACTTTGCACACCCTCTCTAAGTCGCAACGCCCCCTTTCTATTATGTCAATGTGTAAGGCTGTGTTTGTACAACCCCCTCGTACGTTGCTATAGGAGTGGCCTCCCACTTACCCCCATCCCGTCTGCCCGCCTATTGTAGTGAGGGGAGTGACCTCAGGAGACCTCTGCCACATACGTACCGGCAAAGCATCGCAGCTGCTACACATTTGTTTTGCAGGTGCTTGTGCTAAACGTGTGTTCGAGAAAGCCAGTGAGAACAGACAATCCGCCGAACGAGTGCCGCAGCCTTGTGCCACGCGTGACCGAGCTACGCTGCAACATCCCAGCCCAATTCTGCACCCAGAAACCAAAACTTAAAATGGTCCACATCAAAAAGGGGATATTAATTTATTTAGTGAAAATAAATAAATCTTGGTGTGTGTACCATGCTTCCATGAGCTATAAAAACGCTTGCAGAAAAGAAGGGGCAAGCGACAAAAATGTTGGCGCCACCTCATTAAGTCTTCCGCAAAAATAAATTTCACCTGATATTCAGCGTTTTGTCTTGTGTGTAATTTGTTCTTTGATGACATCACTGTTTTTACCATGCTGTTTCAAGATTCAAGATGTGCAACCAACTTGCCAATTGAATAGCTGTCTTTGACATAGATCATCACGCATACTGGATTCGCCTTTTGACTGGGCATGTGCACTTAAGTTTTTGTTTCTACTTTCTTTTTCGTCACTGTTTTTCTTTCTTGGTTGTCGGTTGGCATTTGTGGTGTCTTGGCTTCTCTCTTATTTTATTTTTATTTATTTATTTTCAGATTTACTGCCAGCCTTTAAAAAAGGCCTTTGGCAGGAGCGGGCAGAACAAATAAAAGAATACGAGAACATACGCAAATACGTGCACAAAACAACCGCAACAATGAGCGGGAACAAAATAAAAACAAAAAATATACAATTACACAATCAACAAAGTGACAGCAGGTACTTTTAACAACTTGTTTGGTACCAAGCCAGACCTACACTGATAAAAACTATTAATAATATACAAGACATGACTGGAAAGAGCAGGAGAAATCTGGACCGAGGTGCACCGCTAAACAAAACAGAGCTACAATGTGACACACGCAACATCAACAACAAAAAAAGAAAAAAAAAACATCAGAACAACATTATTGTTTCACAATCACATATCAGTTTGCAGAAGTCGCGATACTAGGAAAGCGGAGTGACGACCAAGATACCGAAAAAATTACAGATAATCTGACAATGCTTTAGCAAAAGAATTTAGTGTAGTACAATCAATTACATTGGATGGAAGTCGATTCCATTCACGCGTTGTTCTCGGAAAAAAGGAGTTTTTGAATGTGTCTGTTTTACAGCTAAAATCCTTTATCTTTATGTCTGTGCTTGCGTGCTTGGTATCTAAAATGAATACCTACCAACTAACTCATTCTAAGCTTTCATTCTGAAGCCAATATCGGAAGGATATGCAATGTATAAATACAAAATAGCTGCATTACTTGCCACATAAATATTTTAAGAAACAAACTTATCTGCCCAGTGTGAACAGGGTCCGGTGACATAAAAACCATCAGGCACCACTCAACCAATGTAGCTGACTCCAGTCAAGCTTATGGCTGCTGACGAGTGTGTGCTTTTTCTTTTCTTTGGCACCTTTGAAATACATACAACAAAAACTTCGCAAACACTTGTTCAGTCTCATAGCCTTACTGGCTAGTAGCAGGAGCAATGGTGTGACATGCCTACAAAACTGCACAAGAGGTTACAACAATGAAAAAGGACAGCAAATTTAATACAAATATTTAAAGAAACACATTATTCAATTATACAGAGAATAACTGCATACAAAATAACCACTTATGTAATTGTAATACTTAAAAACAGCTCATGAAGCGATTCATTGCCATAGAAAAATTATTCGCCTGTTTTGTGTTCGAGTTCCACAACTTGTCAACCGCTAGCGTGAAGTGTAACCTGACCATCGAATTCAATGAGCTAGCATGCAAACTTTGCAGACGTTGAACTTAGCCACTGTACAGTAAGACAGATGGATTTTTAAGAGTTTTTGAGAATAATGAAGTTTTTGAAATAATATAGCTGCATACAGCCAACTAGCTGGAGTTGACAAGATCCTAAGAATTGGCTGGCACAGCCTTAACCCTTTCACTATACTAAAAAAAAAATCACGGCAAAATTAATCAAAAATTTTTTCGCTCAATTTGTCATACTTTTTTTTTTTTTTACTAAAACAGTACCATCATTTCAATCCCATGAGGTTCCTTTCAATCATAAATAACGTAAATAAACTTGAAGGTGATTGCATTGCATGACAATGCAATGAAAAATGGCAATTAAATGAAAGCTGGAGCCAGAAAAAAAAACATCCATGAAAAGAAAGAGCAAACATTTGCACAGGTTTGTGGATATGTATTTTTTGCCTGTTCCCAATGCAGGTGACAGGTGAATTACAACAGTTCCAATTTTATTGAAATAAAGATTTTTTTGGTACCTTTAGGAATGTAATCCTTGGATATCTCGTGCAGACTGTCAACATTTTTTTAAGCTAGATGATGAGCAAAATGTCAAAATTAAAGTTTTTACAAGCAACTCATATTGCCGCCCTACTACCTCACCACAGGCCACACTGCTATGAATAATTTCCCCTGACATAGTGCAACCCTTTTGGAATATATGAATGCAGCCTACCTCAAGAGAAATCTTTCCAAACCAGGCAAAGAAAGTGCTGTAACGGGTGCGCAGCAGGCCACTGATATTTCGCAGGATAATGTAGCTCAAGATCTGCAACAGATCAGCGTCAGATACAGCACAAACAGAGCGCACTCAAGCTTGCTTGCTTACCGGAACAAAGGAGACATACGCATGCACCTCGTTGCAGTCAGGCTTGGAGCGACACACGAATGCGAATGTAGTGTAGAACTGCAAAGACACCATGCAGCAGGCATTGTCAAAAACATCCAAGAACATCACCACTCATACAAATTGTTGGCATGAAAGCCATGCACCAAACACAAACGCTGAGCAAGTTAAAGCAACAAAAACCCCAACTGACAACTGAAAATAGGCTAGACTCATCTTCTCAATCTAGTACGCAATGCTGGTCTACATCAGTGATAGCTGTTCAGGCACTTGATTTTTCCTTTACACAAGTTAATCCACGATTGACTCATGCATGTGCTACCACCATATGCGACGTTTTGTCAAGCCACTGCTGCACACGTTTTTCAGTTCATAGTCAGTTTTGACTTCTCTCCAGCCCCACCCTGCCTCTTTAACATCAAACACAAGGTCCTTTGCTTGGTTCTGCATGGCATCGAAACCTTGATACAAGAATGGGCAGGAGAATGCCAAAGTTGCACTCTGCTGGTCAGCAGCCAACCAGACAGCTTGTCCATCAAGTAGGTGCACTTAGGCTCACTTCAGGAGTCTCAGACCTATCCTTCCCTTTTTCCTCTTCCATGGACTTTTCCTGTAGAACTTTCATTTTGTTTACCATAGGATGACGATGCAATGATATGCCATGGTGCAAGGTCTATGTGTGGCCCAAGAGTTTCACGTCTTCTAATGCAGTGTTAGGGGTGCCATGGTTTGAGAATGCTTGTCAAACTTCTTCAACTCTTATCTTTCCAGTCATTTCACTCTCATGGTTCGGCTCAATGGTTACTACCTGTCCTAAGTAGAAATTATTGCAAAGCGCTCTTCTCTGCCCAGACTTTAGAAGAGTAGAGGTCTGGGCCAGTTGGTGATGCATAATTGGTGAAATTAAGTGTAACAAATGGGACAACAAAGGGAGAGACTCAGAAGACTAAGACAGTTGTACATTACTTTCAGTTTTATGCACCATAATTTTGAGACCTAGTATTCAGTAATCACGAGTTTCAATTCCTCCCATAAGTTACTCATCAGTGAATTGCAGTGACAGCCTACCACTATCTTTATCTCTGCTTATGTCTGCTTATGACAGGTAGTAACCACTGAGCCCAACCACGCACGAGATTGAAGTAACTAGAAGAATAAGAATGGGGTGGAGCACATTCGGCAAGCACTCTCAAATTATGACAGGTATATTGCCACTATCCCTCAAGAGGAAGGTATATAACAGCTGTATCTTGCCGGTACTTAGCTACGGAGCAGAAACCTGGAGACTTACAAAGAGGGTTCAGCTTAAATTGAGGACGACAAAGCGAACGATGGAAAGGAAAATGATAGGTGTATCCTTAAGAGACAGGAAGAGAGCAGAGTGGGTAAGGGAACATACAGGGGTTAACGATGTCATAGCTGAAATCAAGAAAAAGAAATGTACATGCACCAGGCACGTAGCACATAGGCAGGATAACCGCTGGTCATTAATGGTAACTGAGTGGCTCGCAAGAAAAGACAAATATCTGAGGGAAAGTCAGAAAATTAGGGGGACAGATGAGATTTAAAGATCCGCAGGTATATAACGTGGCAGCACAAAGCACAGTAGTACCAGGTTGATAGGTGGAACATACGAGGACTTTGCCCTGCAGTGGTTCTAGTCAGGCTGATGATGATGATAAGCGATAGCCAACAATTTACAATTAAATGGTGTCACATGAATGTAAAGTAAACTAAAATTGCTGGCTAATAATAAATATATTAATAATTGGTAGGGTTTAGCACCTAAAATCAAGGTATTGTCACGGGGTCGTGATGCTGTCGAAGGCAGAGACGGCTTGTACAAAATTAAACCGTTTATTTGGTTGAACTTGCAACTGGTGAACGGGAAGTCACTATACAACGATAGACACTGGCACTGTTAGAGGTGAACAGAAAGTCTGCCGTTGATCAACTGATAAGCGGTGACACCAGTTGGCTTTTATACATGTGCCGTTGAAAATTCCAGTGTTTTTATTAGCAGCCATGTAAGCTCCATAAAAATCTGTAATGTTCGCGTTAGGTGCATAATCTTGACAAAACAATCTACTACAATGGTGAAGCTTCTAGAACAATGAGTCTCGGTTTGTGCTGACAGTTGCTGACAGTCTCTGTGGGTGTAAACCAAATACAGCAAGAGCGAAAATAAACGCTCGTGGCAATGCCCCGCTTGTGAAAAAGCATTGTCCCAATGATTAAAGCAAAATAAGGAGAAAAATGCATGCAAAACTAAATAATATTAAAGCAAGAAAGTACAATAAACTATAAGTGTGAGCAATAAAATACAATAACAAAAAATACAGTCCTTCTAGTCACTAATGCGCATGATAAGTCTTGAAATGTATGACATGAATGACTTCAGGTCGTGCACGGCGTCGTTGAGAGTTCGTTATGCTATCAGCGACAACCTTATAGTCAATTGATTTAAGATGTCAAGCTAACTCTGTACAGTCCAAAATACGGTCGCAGAAGTTTTTTCACTGAGTCTGCGTCGGCGTATCAGTGTCCATACCCAAACACAGTCACTGAGCTGGACGAAGCTTTGTCGAAGATTGCAACGGCGGTTGTCGATCGTCTGCTGATTCTTGATGCTCAAGCGGGTGAGTTGACAAGCTTCTTTAGCGCACTGAAAGTAGACGGTGACATTGAGGTTTTCTTTATCAGCGACATTTGGAAACATAGCGTCAAGCATCATTGCCAGGCTCCTACCATAGACCTAATTTTATGGCATCATTCGCATCGTTTCATCATCTGGTCGTGTTGTACGCGAAGGTCATGCACGGAAGGGCTGCATCCCATGTCTTGTGCTCAGCGTCGATATATATGGCCAGCATATCGACGATGGTCTTAAGATGGTAGGTGGTGTTCCGATGGTGATTTGTTTGACTGTACCTCAGGATTGCCAGAGTTAGGTTCGTCGTAAAGGCTGTACCTCTGTCGATAATAAGGACCTCTCGAGCTCTGTGACGCAAGACGACGTTCTCGATGAAGAACTTTGCTACCTTGGTGGCACTGCCTATGAACAGAGCCCTTGTCTCAGCGGAGCAGGTGAGGTAGCCGGTAGCTATGAATATTCATTTGTTTCTGGAATTGGATGTCAGAAACGGCCCCAGTAAGTACATGCCGATTTCCTGGAATGGCCAGCGAGGTGGCTCGATAGACTGGAGAAGTCCGGCTGGCCTAGCCGACAGTGTCGTTCGTCGCTGACAGTCTCAGCATGTCCTGACATAACGAGTAACGTTGACGGCGAGTCGTGGCCAGCAATACTTTTCTTGTATTCTTGCGAACGTACAGAAAACACCAATGTGTCCAACCATAGGGTCGTGGTGTAGAGCATTTAAAACTTCTGGATATAAGGCTGACCATACTATGAGGAGGTAGTTGGCCCAAAGTAACGAAAAGTTTTCTTTAGAAGAATGCCGTCCCGCAAGAAAAACGACTTGACTCCTTGTTTGAATACTTTTGGAACAACAGTGGCCTTGCCCTTGAGGTATTCTACAGAGCCCTTGAGTTACGGATCAGCTCACTGTCATTCGGGGAAGTCATTGACGCTTAAGGTTCCCAAGAAATAGTCACTGTCCTCGTCGTCCTGAGGCAGTGCTTTAGCGGAGGCACGGAACAGGCAGTCCGCATTGGAGTGTTTTCGCCCGGACTTGTACACGACAGAAACATCAAATGCTTGAAGTCTTAGACTCCCTTATGCGAGACGACATAAAGGGTCCTTCAAGTTAGCTAGCCAGCACAAGGCGTGGTGGTCACTCATAACTTTGAAGGGACTTGAAGAGAGATAGGGTTGAAACTTTGACATAGCTCAGACGATGGCAAGGCACTCTTTTTTGATTGTGGTATAGCTGCCTTCTGCCTCCGATAGGGACTGACTAGTATAACTGATAACCCTTTCTTCTCCCTCAGTCTTTTGCGCTATAATGGCATCAGGTCCTACGAGACTTGCGTCAGTGTCGATTTCCATATCGACGTATTCATCGAAGTGTGCAAGTATCGGTCTGCAGTCGTCGTTTCAGTTTCTCAAATGCTTGAACTTGCGCTGTTTACTCTCTGAATTCGACGTCAGCCATCGTGAGCTGGGTTAGTGGCTCGGCGATTTATGAAAAGTACTTGACGAAGCGTCTGTAATAGGTGCACAAGCCGAGGAATCAGCTCACCAATAATAATAATAATAATAATAATAATATCTGAGGTTCAATGTCCCAAAACCACCATATGATTATGAGAGATGCTGTAGTGGAGGGCTCCAGAAATTTCGACCACCTGGCGTTCTTTAACGTGCACCTAAATCTATGTACACAGGCCTTAGACATTTTCGCCTTTAATGAAAATGCAGCCACCACAGCCGAGATTCGACCCCGCGAACTGCTGGTAAGCAGCCGAGTGCCTCAGCCACTAGACCACCATGGCGGGGTAAGGAATCAGCTCATGCTTCGTGCTGGTGGGTGGCGAGAAGGTGGCGATGGCAGCTGTTCACTCCGGACTTGCTAATCATGTGACCCATAAAGAGGAGCTCCTTGTACGCGAAAGGCCACTTTTCTGGCTTCAGGGTGAGCCCAAAACTCTTAATGGCTTAAATTACGAATTCAAAGCACTGCAGGTGTTCCTCGAAGTTCGAGTAAAACATGACGACATTATCCAAGCAAGCGAGGTAAGTCTGGGGAGGCTACACTTGATGGGCAACTTCTTTATTTATGTATAGATCTGAATGAAAGTTTCACAATATGTGTATTAAGATGTGCAGATTCTAAAAATATAATTACTTTTTTTATAGGTCAAGTAGTTTCCAAGGTACTCCACAACAAATGTATAGCCTCGGCGCTTTGTTTGGGGTCTAATTAGCATTTAAGCAGGAAGCACCAAAACAGTGGCGACAGTGTAGAAACAATGCTGGATGTTTAAGAAGGTCAATATGCTAGAAATCATATTTTTAGGCCAATTTAAACAAGAGTTTGAGGACATCAACGTTCACATAAAAAAAAAACGCCTTCACCTGTCATGCATATGACCCAATT